AAGAACAACAACATGGTCTCTGGGAGCAGCGTGTGCTGCTGGAAGCAGTGCACTTGTTTAGTAAAGAGACACAGCAGAAGGGGTTGGTGCAGATCCTTTTTCCAACTCCAGTGTAACTGAGTATTTGCGAGGTAGTTTTGGTTGTGGGCAGGGGAAGAGATTTTTTCCACCCACTATCAGCCACCTGCCTTTTAATATAGGAAAGAAAAAAAATTGGTTCATTATAGAGAAGTGAAATGCCTCATTATTTCCTCACAGTATTGATGCTGTAGGAGCTTGCTGTAACCCCTTTCTGCAGTTTATTTCCCCTTTTTCTTTGCACACTCTGTGAAAACAAGAGGAGAAATGTACCAGACATGGTCACTTCCTTCTTTCCTGTCCTCCACTGTAAAAAAAAAAAAAAAAAAAAAAAAAAAAAGAGAGAGAAGAATTTCCTGGAAGGAATGTGCTATATTATGTGAATGCAAGAGACAGAAATGTTGGGATTTGGGGGGGGGGGTTGGCTGGTTGTTTTGTTTTTGTTCTTTTAATTTTTTTAAGAAGGCTAGTTTCCTATTGGTTAGTATATTACTTGATCTATTGAAAATAGGATAATTTTATCATGGAATTTAATCATGAGCATTGTATTTTAAAACTAACATCATTAGTCCACTAGCTAGTGAAACTGTGGTAATTAGAAACAGGACTGGAGACAGTCACCAGTATGGTAACTCTGTTAGACGTTAAGGATTTTTCAAGTTCAGGTAAAATGAGACTTCAGTGCTTTTCTCTCCCAGCAACAAATAGTAGAGATATGCCAAACATATAATAATTCCTACCTTGCCATTGGCTGCACTTTTCTTTCTGTTGTCCCTTCTCACTGATGTGGGGTGGGTTTTTTTAACTTGAGTGTCTTCTAGGAAACAGCAGCATGCATCTCATGGAATTGTTGACAGCTGCACTTTAAAATACATTTCTGAGAAGAGAAGCATTAGTGTGTGCCAACTGAAGATCCTAGAATTCAGGAGAGTAACTTTCAAAACACTGATGTAGCAGTTTCCCATACCAAGCTGTCCTGGAAATCATAACTGAGCAGTAGGTAGGTGAACCAGGAGGTAAAGTCTAAAGGTAAAGCTAGGTAATCTCTTGGCTAAACTGCAACATTTGCTTAAATTGGACTACAAAATACAATTTTACAGATGGATATTTCTCTTCACAAGCTCGTCTTGACACAAAACAGTGTAATATCAGGACTATGGCCCTAATATTAGAAGTCAGTTAAAAGACTTCTACTTATTTCCAACAGTCAGGACCCCACATTAGGGTGAGAAAGATAAAATCAGTGGCAGGGCAGGTAAATTGTCTAAGGAAAGCTAGATACAGAGAGGTAGAGAAAATAGCCATCCCTGCTGCCTGGGGCAGCCTGAGAGCTCACCTGGCTTGCTTGCAGATCAGACATCTCTAGCACCTCCAGAAGCCACAGGCCACCCGGGCTGGCTTGCAGGGACCGTGGCAGGGCTGTGAGGTGGGAATCCCGCTAGGCAAGACCCTAAAGGACACTTGCTCCTCTCTCAGCAGTGCCAGCTTCTCCACGCTTAGTGATCAGGTCAGCGACCGAAAACTGGTCCCAGGGAAGAAATACTGGTGGGGAAACACACAGGAGAAGAGATGGAAACCTGCAGCAAGGGGAGAGAGGGGGATCACCCCTTTCTGTGCCAGTGGGAAGTCAGAGCAGTCTATACCAATTGCGAAACTGCCTCCTTTGGGACCTGGAATGAAACTGCTCTTAAACTGCTATTCTGGCCTTTACAGTACTAAAAATCTGTCATGACAGTTGCATTAATTTTGAGCCTGGAAATAAAACAATCCCGCAATCCAGATATTCAGTGGAAAAATGAATTACTCACTTGTTTTCTTCTCTTTTGGACACTTTTATCTTTGGCTGCTTTCAGTCAGCCATCATTGTGTGACATCAAATATTCCTGAGCTCTTATTTAACTCACACTATGTGATGGTTTACAGTGATGCATTTTGGGATGATAGTGGAAAATAATAGTGGCAATAAAAGTGATGTTTTTCTTCGAAACTAGAAATACTTTTGTAAAAGTTAAAATTATTTTGTGCCAAATGTACCTTCCCCCTCTCCCTGGTAAGATCAAAGCAGCTCTCTGGTATGCATACCCAGATCGAATATGTATTGTAGCTGTGTAGTGCCACTTGAAAGCTTTCTAGGTGAGTAGTACTGCTATAGTGGAGTTGTTGCAAATGAAGAGAGAATATCTACTTCAAAAACAACATAAGCAAGAATTATGTATTCTTTTTAAAGTGCATATTTACCAAGTTATTAGTCATGAAGCTTTTCTATATACTTCTATTGAGAAGAATCAGAGACTAAATAATTAGTTTATAAAGCTCCACTTGATTTTGTTTTCTTCATTAGTGCTTGATATCAGGCAAATGCAGTGAAACTGCTGAGATATTTTGTCAGAATCTGATTACTATTCTCAAAGTTATCACAGCTATAAAACCGATGTTTTTCTTTAGCAGACAGAACGGGTGACACCAATGCAAGAACAAATAATTTTGGAAGAAAAGTTGAACATATTTTAAATGACCGAATATGCTGGACAGAAAAGATCCGGCTTAACTATAAAAGAGCTTCTGTTACAGGCTTTAAGACCCTGATGTTGTAACTGGGAGCGTGCCATCAGGCTGCTGTACTGTGCCCCTTGAGGAAAAGAAAAGCAGGAAACCCCATCCACTATCATCCATTAAATCAGAGCTAAGTTTCTCCTGCTTCAGAAGTGTTGCAGTCCAACTGACTCTATTTCAGGTTCTCTCATCTGTGGTACTGATGACAAGAAAAGGAATAAGCCTAGGTCACTGTGCTTAAAAAATACCCATACTTGATCAAATGAAGAATGTTAGAAACAATAGAGATAATACCTCTTGGGTAGCTTTACAATAATTAGAAACTTAGACTTAACTGCAGTGATTGTCATGCAACACGAATTATTGATTCTTTTGTAAACCTGCATTTCAGGAAAGCTATTTTTTACCATTTTGCTAGGCTAAGAGTGTCTGTTCATGTCACAATCTCTGTCATTTTGAGGACAAGATTTTAGCCAATACACAAAACAGGGGCAGGAGAGAAAGGGAGAACGAGGAGGCAGAGAAGAGATTATAAGTCTGAACTCATCCTCTTCTCCATTCCCTCCATTCCCTTCACGGTGTCAGCTGGGTCCAGCTCCAGACTTGCCTCATCGTAAAGCTTCAAGAGGGGTTTTCATAAAAGTAGAGCAAGTGACTAAACCAATTTGCCCTCTTATCTGCAGTGTATAACTCCATGTATGTACTAAAGGCAGGTGCTGGGCTGAAGGCCTTGCCCTGGGAATGAAACTTTGCTAACACTATGCTATTAATGGCTTCCTGGAAGAAAGTATGATGAGAGCAACAGAGGCCCAAGTTTAGATAAATAGAACATGTGCACGCTTGCTTTGGGTTCTGAACTTCAAAATTGTGCAAACAGCCAGAATTCCCCTCCTGTTTATTTGAAGAGTATTGTATTTTAAAAACAAATAAGACTAAAAAATCAGTGCTGTTGCTGGAATACAGCAATTTGATTTAAATGTACACTTTAAAAGGCAGCTTGCATTCTCCAGTAAAATGCATTTTCTACAGAAAGAGAATGCCTCTTATTAAACCAGGTGATATAGGCATAAGGAACAAACTTTGAGACACAGAAGTGACCTCGCTTGTATATCAGAAAGCTCGTCTAATAAATCACAGTATAGCATACAAAAAGATTTTTTTTTTTTTCATTTATTTCTGGCTGATTTAATCAAAGGAAAGGCCCGGAAATGTACCAAACAGTTAAAACGACACATAATGTAATTTTACAAGGAATTAGTTGAATAAATATAAAGTTTTCCATCCTATTCGTTGCTCAGACTCCCCACTCAAAAATAAATATAGAAATTTCAAAAGTGAATATACAAGTTGGTAGGAAAATATGAGACTGACTAATGAAGTAAAGAGCAGATAATGCAAATAGGCTCTGCTCTTACACTATTAAATGAGATATTGATCCTGTTTTAGGGTAATTAATATCTTTCATGGCTAACATTAAAAGCTAGTTTCTGTTTCAGCATGCTTGGGGGCCCGACATCCCACACCAAAAATAAAATTTGTGGACTGAACCATTTCTGTCAGCAACAGGAAAAAAAAAAACAAAAGAAACCGAAAAAGCCCCAAATCGTTGAAAATCACATATTTCAAAGGTGTACATTTCTAAGGCTTTTCTGATGTTTTGTGCTACAAGAGGTGCTACTGGCTGCTTCCCACCAGCAAGGAGTATTCTTTTATTTTTCCTTAACAAGCGGAATCTCAGGTAGTTGATTGGGCAACTTAATGACTGGTGTTTTCAGGTCAAAAGAGAGGAGACAGATCAGAATCCTGCTCTGACACGCTGCGTAGCGAAATTAGTCTCTTTCCAGTCACAATAGAAAAAAACCTAGAAAGATTAGCATCCCTAAGATTAAATTAGCCCGTGTAATTCCTGTTCAGCTGTGAATCAGTCAGCAAGATTTGATTCATTTATTTATTCAAGGGCACTCCGATAGCCTGTGCAAAAAATACCTCCTCGGAAGCTGAACACTGATTTGTAATTTTACTATTTTTAAAGTTACCCAGTATCAATCTGTCCTGTGAAGGACTTTGAGCTGCATTTTTCTTCATGCATCTCTCTGTGAGGAAAGGCTTTAAAACATCCCTTAATATAAAGGTTATTTATTGTTGTTGTTAAGACCCTTGGTGTTTGCTGCTAGGATCATCTCAGCGCATCTCATCTGACCAATTTCCTGATGGTACAAGGCCATGAGGTAGCCATGGCACCCTCGTTTTCCCTCCTCAGCTCTCATGGCAACCTCGTTTTCCCTCCTCAGCGCTCATGGCAACACCTCAGCAAGTTACAGTATGTAAGGCTATAGTTACACTGATGGCTGAATCCTTCTCTCTTCCAGAACATCCCGGAGTCTGGTCACAAGTATTACCTGCAGTTCACTACCGAAGACTACAAAAGCGGGGTGAGTTTACAGTCCACCGTATTTCTTCTGACAGTGTGCGTTAAATGAACTTCAACGCCCCCAAAAGAGGGTACATTTAATCGCTTTTGTAAATGGATCTTTCACAATGGAAGGACTTACCTTTATGCTTCTACCTGCCTGTCCAGCATGGGGCATGGTTTGCTCTTAGCATCACCCAAGTATCTCATCTAATCAGTCCTCTGCCTCTGTCGGGGTCCAAGTGGTCAGAGCACCGTAGTTACCTGCTTTGCTCAGTGCCTGAAGAGATTGTCTCATTTAAGTCACATCAGGCAACCAAGCGCCTGAGTGAAACTTTGCCACGGTCCAAACTCAGTGTGACAGTATGGTCCTTGTTATCCAGTTGTAGCTCCTGCTGTGTCCGCACACCAAAATGAGAATAAAGAGTTGACAGTTGTGTTCTTTAGAATTATATCCCCCCCCATTCATTCTGTCAGACAGTTGTCATGAGCAATTTTACTGTAAGCATCTGCTTTTTCATTACACACACATTTTATGAAATTCAGATTATTTTCAGAATTTAATATGAAGCGTTAGATTATTTTTGTTTTAAGGCTGAAGTATCATGCAATGAAATACCCTGTTAATGTTATTTCTTGAGAACTCTCAAATGTATTTCCAAGATGACTTAGTGCATTTCTGCTACACTTTTTAATTAAAAACTTCTGTTAAATCACTTTAGCCTTGTGGTTTTAACCTATTTACTTCTCTGGAAAAAAATTTATATCCATCTAAAGACTTTCTTGACCCCTGTACAGCTTCATACAAAGCGTCTCATAAAGACATGTACGTACTCCACATGTACACTTCACATGTTAATACCAAGAGCTTTTTTAAGAATCTGTTGCTGGTAAAAAAAAATCTCGATTAAAGATTACAGTTTTAAATTCTACTTTTACAGGAAAATGTCGGGAGCTGCCTTGCTACAGTGTTGTATCCGAAGACAAAGTCTCTGCCTGCTGTCAATATCAAGTGCACATATACCAAAGACCAGAAGCAAATTCAAGAAGAGGACAACAGACTTTACCAAAAAATTAGGCACCAAACTAAACCAATAATCGGAAACAATATTCCAGGTATATTCCTCCAAATAACCAATTGTATTTCATTTTATCTCAAAGAGCCTGGGCACTTTTAAGAACACAAGCAAATGTACATGCATTTCAAAAAGTAGACACATACATTTACAGTAGCACCCTAAAACCATAGAGGTAACTATCAAAACAATTCCACCTTGCTAGCAATTCTTGGGGAAAAAAAAAACCTGCTGCATTTTAGCAACAGCGGTAGTCAACACAACGTTGTGAAGGTGTTTTGGATTTAAAAACAAGTCTATGCAGTTTTATATTCAAGTAAATGCAAAATGTCCTCAAGTAATAACAACTGCCTTAACCCACACACCTTCCCCAGCTGCGGGTGGAAATTCACAAGGGATGACTAACAGAATTTTTCCATCCTGGAAATAGAGCGCCCCGGTCCCTCTTCTCCTCCTGGCTAGGTAAGGACCTCCATTATCGTGGATATTGGGTTTCTCACCTCCTTGTGGGGACCCTGTGAATAGTGCCTCTTGGCAATTTCAGTTCCGTCACGCTTTCATGCTTGTACTGTGACTGCAGGTTTAGCATCATTCTCCTCCCTGTTCAAGATTGTAACGCATCTGGGGGAAGAGTCACTTCCCAGGAATAGTGCTACACCAGGCAAAAGTGTTCTGTGGTTTATCATTTTTCTGCTGAACAGCCAGAATTAATCATTTTTGTATTACTCTCTTGCTCCCTTGCAGACAGCTATGGAAATATTGAAGCTGCCCTGGAGCCAGTGTGGGCTTTGGCTGTCGCTGGCAGCAGTTACATAATGTGGGAAAAGTCAACGGAGAACTTGGGTTACTTCACGGCACAAGTCAAGTCTGTGAAGCAGTGGGTAAGCGAAGTGGAAATTACAAGTCTGCGTTACAGAAGCTAATAGAGTCTACTAAGCAGCAGAGAATAAAACAACCATCAACAGCTTATGCTTTCTGTAATGGGTGTGATTCTCCCAAAATCCCAGTGGCTTCTCCATACAAGTATCTCCACGTCTGGACAACCTTGTCCAGGTTTTGGTGGAAAAATTTTACTCATTTGGACAACATTTGGTTTTCCTTATTTGCACGAGTGGATCTGTTGGCTTCTGCAGGTTTAATCAGGAGATTTGAACGTACGGTCCTGCAGTTCATCAGCCCCATACTAAGTCGCTCCTAGTACTCTTTGCCCTCCTAGCCAAGCTCGAAGGTAGCATCAATCTAGTACCTGACATACGCTCTCTGAGGAACATACCTTACATCTGCAGCATATAGAATAGGAGTTCCCAAAGCTTTGTGTCCCTCAGTCACCTGTGATCGACAGTGTTCGGTTTTTACTCCCTAGTTACTTAGAATGAGATTTCTCTGAAGGAGACATCAATAGGTAAGATTCTCAAATTTATTTGCGGGTTAAACTCAATTAATTAGCATCTGAGTCAAGCCTAGTTTCATGTCAGAGAACAGTCAGACTGCAGAGCCACGTTGCAGTTAGTGCCTCCAAAGCTTTTATGCAGGAAGTGCTCCTAGTTCCCTGTCTCTCTACATACAAAACCCGTCTTCACTCCAGCCAGCGACCACAGCCATCTCGAGCCCTATTCATCTCGCTCCCTAAGCAAGCTACATGCAGTCAATCAGACTAGCCTCTGAACTTCCACAATGTAACTTGCGTTCTTGATCTTTTTTTTTTTTCATACACGCCCAGATAAGGAAAGATGATTTTATTGAGTTTGACTACACTGTCCTACTCCATGAAATTCCAACACAGGTAAGAAAGCATACGTGTATAATACCTCCTTTCATCAACAGAGGAACAGCATAAAGATCATAAAAGATGTGTATTTTTAAATCTGTTCTCCAGGAAATTATTTCATGTCACATGCGCCTCACCTGGCTTCCTGGTCACCCTCTGAAAGTGAAATACTTCTGTGCTTCAGAGAATCAGGGGCTCGAATACGGGTCTGGAATGGAATCTGGATCAGCTGCTGGGATTTTACATGAAAGGGGAGCAAAATTTTAAAAGAGATTGTCAGCTTTATGAATATGTATTAAATGAGAAAATCCTTGTGTTAATAGATCTGGAGTTGTGATAATTTTTCTATACAAGTCGAACAGTGAATTTGAATGCTTTCACTAGTCTGTTTTGTTCCAAAATTAATTCCTGTGATTTCTTAAACTGCAAGACTCATGTTCTAGAGTTCTACCTAAAAACTTTGCTATGACATACATACACAGATAAATATACACAAGCTGATTTTATGTCACTAACTTACTGTTGCTTAGAGTAACATAGTTTGTGAACAAAGTTAATGTATTTGGATAAAAATCTTGAGAAAAATATTAATCTGTCACTAAGAAATATTTGTCTACTAATTTTTTTTCATTTTTTGGGATAGATACATGCTGATTTCTAACTTAGATCTCCAATAAAACAAATACCATTACGCAGGGTCAAGGTGGGGTTTTCTTTCATGCTGCTGCTGTTCGACCCCAACTCCCCATCTTCTCCCAGTGTTTGGCCTTTAAAGACGTGGACAAGCGCAGGCAGCGAAACGTCTCCCGCAAGGCCCTACAGAAGCCAGTAGCCAGCATCTGCACGGCCCTAGTCCTGCTGACGCACCACCGCTCCCTGTGGTGTGAGCTGACATAAAAAGGAAGTGTCTTCTCTCATATTTGTGAAGGCAACTCAGAAAATATTGATATAAGGAAAACACGTTTTGTTGTCTCTCCACATCTCTCACCAGTCCAGAACACTGCAAGGCAGTGTTTGTCAAACGGAAATTGAGAATGTTGTCTTAGTCTATTTGCAGTACGACACAGTTCTCGCTATTCTGCCTTCAGTGAAAACAGACAGAACTGCAAAGACAGTGAGGCTCTGTACAGATGGATTTCCACATTTGGGTTTGGCGGGGGAACAGCCTGCTGCCAGAATACCCCGTCAAACAGCTTTTATATTACTGCCTGCTGTGTCTTGTACCCATCCGAAATACGACAAAGTCCTACTGCAAGAACATGTTTTTGTCCTCTCACACCAAATTCTCCATTTCGGTTTACAGCAGACCCGCTGTCCTGCCTTTGTTCACTGGGATTGTGCCAACCTGTTTTGGGTTCGTCATTGTTCTTCTCCATTAGCAAGATTTCTGCCGGGTTAACTCAACTCCCTATCAATAAGTACACCTTACTTAGGAAAACAGGCAATGGTCTCTGCCTTCCGGGATGGTTACGTTCTTTGTAACTTGTGGTACACTGCGCTATCGTTGATCTGTAATTGGTAACGATGATTAAGGTATTCAACACGAAAGCTTTAACTGGGAGATATTTAGGCTGGGTGATCTGTTAACCCCCCAAATTCAGGCATTTTACACAAGTGTATTTGTCTGATATACTTTTACTGACTGAAGCTTTCTATATCAGCACATCATAGGCACTACAATAAATTCAGTGAAGCAGCATTTCCCATACTCTTGGTGTTTTCTTTTGTGCTGGTAACACATTTCTCATCATCAACAGCGTGAAATCAGAGCTTATAACGGCAACATTTCTTAAAGAAATTGGTGATGAAAATATCTTTTTTAGAATTTAAATAAGAAAATAGCATGGGTTTTGCACTTTGGGGGTCTACTTTAGCAATGCATTTAACCACAAGTTTAGTTTCCTTACCCTTGTTTTTGTCACTGCTCTCCAGACCTAGAACAGAGGATCAGGCACTTCCAACTTACCAGATCGGTGTAACTTTGACACCAAATAAGCAACGCAAACTTAGGTTAGTTAAGAAACTGCGCAATAGCTTCTGGACAAGTAGCAAACCTGTTGGAATTCAAAGGCAAAATTTCCACCAACTTCTTTAGGGCCAAGATTTCAGTCAGTGGATCAGAACCTAAAATCATACAGTTTTTACTCAAGCAAAATTCTTGGTTACATCAACGTAGACGTTATCCAAGCCAAGGCTTAGACGGGTTCACAGTGAATTCTTCACGCTAAAAAAAAACACGTGCAGAGCATATCTGTAAGATGTTGTGCAGACAAGAGGAGTAGTTCTCTTTCATCTTTGCTGCTAGGAAGAGTTCAACTAAGATATACAACAAGTGCTATCTAAAATTTGATCAAAGAAAAAAAAAAACCCATCATGCACAAAGGAACAAAATCCAGGGCGCCCCAAAATTAGGCTCTTGCTAGTGCTTCTGTCCTCCTTCCACTGTCCCCCGCTATCCATTAGCCTTCCCCCTACCCGCAGATTTTCTCCCTCGCATTTAAGCTCAGCAGACCCTGCTGTGCCTCAGCTGTCCCTGCACTGTGCTACCCGGGGCCATGTTCTCATTGGACATGTTAGATTTGTGGAGAACCAGCACACATCTGGCAGAACCTATTAGCCAGGAATTCACATCATGACTGGCCTCTAATAAGCATAATATAAAAGCCATAAATATAAATAAAATAATAACCACCCCATTTATTTCTTGCATTCATACTGCTTTTGTAAGCCGTCTTTGAATTTTGGTAAACGTGCTGTATTTGCTTGTTTGAGAAAATCTCCAAATGTCAGAGAACCTGCAGGGCTTTTCTTGAAACAAGTTCCAGCTGAGTATTTTCACAAAAATAAGGCTCTGAATGCAAGGGAATCAAGAAGGATTCGGCCCAAAGCAACATCATATTCATATACGGCATTATGCATGTGTTTAGTCAGCATTTACATGCCCCTGACAAATCTCTGACACTGTACTTTTTTCAAGGTTAAAATAAGTAATTTTCACTGTCTTTCTGTGAAGGCTGAGGGAAAAGAAGCCCAGCCACTGCAGTTCTGTCTGCGTCTGGTAAACATCAACCACAATCCTGTGCCAGGAATGTAGCTGGTTTTGAACTGGAACTTCATTCTCTGTTTACTGAAGTCTGCAAAAATGCTGTTAAGCCGAGTAGGTCAGGAAGAGAGAGCACGCAAAGAAAATTCAGCGTGGATCTTCTGGTAGTAATCAAAAAAATATATTGATGGTATCATCTTCTCTTTCTCACCTAATTATAACGTCCTTGTTTTATCTCCCTTCTATGAGTGAGCAAGATCTGTTCAACCGATTCCCAAGCTGCGCATCATCAGCAACACGCCCTTTTGATTGTGAGGTTCTGGGGAAAGGAATCTTTTGTCTGGTTTTCTAACAAAGAGCCAAGACAGCGAGCCCCTAAAATAAATCCACTTTGTTCACAGCTTTGGAAAGACTTAACTTCTACGCATATTATTATCAACTCTTTTCAAATGCCTTGCACCATCCGTGATAAGCAGATGTGGTGATAAGCAAGTTGCACTGACAGGTGACTTTGCCCAATTCCTTAGGACTTTGGAGGCTCCTAGCACTGTTTCTGAAGGATGAGGAGGGAAAACTGACCTTCGTTCCCTGGACTGTACGCTCTTAAGTGCAGGAGCTACAGGATCCATGCTTGGGGCACGTATGTGAAAACTGCTCAGCACTGGATGACGATTCACCCTCGTGCCTGTCCAGCACTTAACAGTTAGTTTAGTCTCCTAAACTAAGATTTTTAAACTTTCAAAAACAAACAGCAACTAGCCTAATTACAAAATAATGATGTAGCAAGTAAAAAAATAAAATTATTTTAATACAAATGGATTAAGACAAATTTCAAGACAAGTTATCATCAGTGCTGTAACATTTATATATTTTGTTAATGAGTAGCAATTTACATGTGAACAATTCCGTTGTGATCTCCTGGTGGCTTCTGAGAATACCACAAAGGAAGGATATTATGATGAAATTACAAGCCCGAGTCCCACTGCAGCCTGCACTTATCCAGCCAGCCTTGATTGCTGAGCTTTTGGAGAAGGATGTGAAAAACCGTTCAATGTACTCAAGAGGAAAAAAGTCAGCTCTTGGCTTTGCCCTTTTTTGCAGGAAGTCGTCCTGTTGCTTCGAGGTATTTGTTAATTATTTCTTCTTGAGTGCTGGGCGAACATGGTTGATATTTACAGTATTCCATTGTATATTCACCCTTTCCCTGTAGAGTTGGAAAAGAATAGTCAAAGTGAGGATGCTAAACATGTAAACCTATTTAGCAGTAGGCCACACCCCAATCTGTGAAATAACATGCGACAAAGTACACCAACACTGTGTACTGAGGCGCGCAGATAGGAGATGCAAAGACGTACAAACAGTATCTGAACACTGTTTCTTTGATACAAGATTGCCTGCGGTTCCCATCTCATCAGCGTGACATTCTGCTTAAAAACTGAAAATGATCACGGCATTAACAACAGCCCGTTCAAGTGCTCACAGAATACCGGCACTCGCCTGTCTCGAGATGTGGAATAGCATATTTTACGTAACACGCAAACTCACCTGATTCAAATGCATCCAACGAGCGTATAACTACAGGCATATATATTATTAAAAAAAGGACATCTTAATAGCGTGAGCACTGCTGTCAAAGATCTCTTCTACTTGCAGACATTTGTAACTTAAGGAGTATGTCGCAACTGTTCCAGCCCGTGAATTCAATACCTTTACTGGTACCTATCATTTTGTATTACTTACGACTCTGAATCTCTTCCCTCCTCAAAGTATGAAAGAATTTTTTGGCCAGAAATGACGCAGCTAATGACAGCTATGTTAATTAAAAAGCAGTTGAAGTAACAGTAAAAACTGTAAGGTTATTTTCCTATTCTGCATCTGCTTCGATTTTCATCACTTTTACTGCTACATGTGCTATGTATATGGTGATGCAAATTAGCACACTTGATTTACAGAAATAAACATGTTCTAGCAAAAAGTACCGAGAGTACTTACCTCTGTGCAAGACCTCAGCTCGGTGGCATATCCAAACATATCATTCAGTGGCACCTAAAATCCAAGCATACTATTCTTGTAAAAACAAGGTATTTTTTCCATCAACTTTGGGTTATCGTCCAATTAATCTCAATTACAATATCAAAAGTCAGTGAAGTCTGGTGCTCTTTGTAAACAGTACTGATCTAATTATCTATTTTTGTAAAGTATCTCTTATTTCAACTGATTTATATTCACAGTGTGTTTTCAGCAAAAAAAACAGAGTTTGAATGCACCAGATACTGGAATATTCCAAACTCGGTAATCTGTGTCACCCAGGAAGAGATCATAACGTTTGAAATATCTCAAGACTGCAGCTCTAAACACAATTTACGAAGCAGAAGTGATGCGGTGTGTAGTCTTGTCATTAGCTAAGGCTTTGCTGAGACGATTTACCCTACCACCACTGTTAGATGTACACTTCTATATGACCTAACATGAGAACAAGGACGTTTTTCGAAGGGACATAAAAGAAGGAACATTGAAGACAAGTCATTTGCATTTAGCTGCAATTATTACAGTTAATGCCGGTAACAGCTGAAGGAAGACAGCTGACAAAGATCTTCCCCCTGAACTCTGTGCGCCTGTACTGCTGCACAGGTTTGTTTCCCTCTGAGGTAGCACAGCCAGCCCATCTCAAGAAACCCGAGTTCTGTTTCTTTCTCTGCCACCGTGTGATTTTAGGTTAGCAAGTCGGCTTCTCTGGAGCAAGACAGATTTATAATAGGTTCACTAATACTGCACGATATGCTGCCACGAGTTGAAAATCAGTGTTTTGCTTATCCACTGAAAGACCTGGCTACACGTTTATGCGTATTAGTCAATGAGTCGAACAGTAATGGAGTCGAAAGGCAAGGCAGGAAAAGAAAAGGTCAGGAACCAGTGAACAATACAAACCTCAGCATAGAGAGTAAAGTAATCCTCTGTGCCATCTTGTCCTGTGATCACTCCGTGACGGCGATTAATTCCAGCTATCACTGCTCCTTGGAATTCAGTGGGTGCCATCACCTCCACTGCCATAACGGGTTCAAGTATACGCACAGCGGCGTTTTCCATAGCTGGAGGAAAAAACTTACTAAATAATCAAACATCAAAGAACACCCCTGGTATAATTCAAGATACCCCTCTGCATAGCGAAGAAGTGTTTTATGGTTAATGCTAAGTGTTTCTTACATCAGTGGGGGAAAACAGTAATTGACTATGTGGAATTCCAGCTCCCCTGCCTTTTATTCCCAAGACAGTAAAGCTGGGAGGCACACAGTTTGACAGAATCTTCTTTTCATACCTGTGTAAGGTTGAAGATGTTGGTGTTTCTTTATTCTATGAAAACAGGATTTCCTTCATGTAACTAAAGAATTATTGTGCCTCCCTCAAAACTTCTATAAACTCTTGCATATATTCTGCTCTACACAACTGGCCAAACTTTAAATGTATGTATGGATTCACCAGGCAACAAATGAACCTATAGAAAGGAGGTTGTTAAATTTAGCTCCAACAATAGAGAAGCCAGCAGGACTACGCGTTCAAACGACTAGCTTTATACCTTGCTTTAGGGCTCCTTCTCCTGCTCTGATGAAAGAGATTTCATTAGAGTCCACCATGTGATGTGCACCATCATCTAGGACGAACCGGACTCCAGATATCCTGTGCCCTGACACTGGACCTTTTTCACATGCTTCTCGGAATCCCTGTCAAATAACATCTCAAAGTTAGCAGGTTTTAGATGAAAATGAAGCTTAAAAAAGAGTAGCATTAACAACAGCCTATAAAAGACATTAAACTTAAAAAACAAAATGACGATAACAAAAAAAAAAAAGCATTTCACAATTTTTAACAGCAATCCCATATCTATGCAATGGACCTTCTTGCTTGATAAGATAATGGAAGAAAATAACAGCAGGGAAAAGTTTTCATTCCCAAGCGTTTGAAAACTTTGTGCTATCATTCTTTGGCACCTCGGTTCGATAGTGGTATTTTTTAAAAATAGAGATCATGTAACAAGCAAAGGACAAGAAATGTACTCAGGATTTTGCTTTGTTAAGGGAGTGTATGATCAAAAACTGAAAGAATGCTCTGTGTGGAAAGAACTACTCTAACCACTCGACTGAAGAACACGATTCTTTTAAGACTTCATGCTTTTTCCAGGATTTGGCAAAAATCTTTTAAGTGTTGCATCACAGAATAACGAAGGAACTATTTTAGGTTGATCCATTATTATAGGAATTCAAAGATTGTGGTAGGTACTACTTAAAGTACTACGTGATAAATTATACAGTTACACAGAGATAAGCACAGAGGAATCCCGCAGAAGAGATTAAAAGGAGTATTTGGTAATTCATGCAGAAAATCTAGCTTGATTACAGTTTCCTACGTAACTGGCCTCAGAGAAGTCACAAAAAAAGTTAACATACTTTGGGGTTAGAGATGAGAATCACATGGCCACAATCAAAAGCAGAAGAGGGCCATTAAAAAGCAGATTCAACAGAAGGAGGCTTGTTTACTGCAAGAAAGGAAAGCCTACATTTTGCACTGCAGCACTGCTATGGAAATAAAGCAAGCACACACTACCAAAGAAAACAAACAGCAGCTTCTAAGTTAAGTGGAAAACCTAGGAATGGTAAGATATTAAGCAAAGCCACAAAAACTTGATTCTGCTTCCGCTGAAATAACAGGAAAAGCCTCCTTGCCTGGGGCAAGACAGTCACAATAAATGTGGACAGTACAGCAGGAAAACAACAAGAATCAGTATTTCTTACATCATACACACACACACAAAACGCTTTGTACCTTTTCAATAGCGGGCACGAATTGTTTTGGAATGTTTGTGCCAATGGTTCTGTCTTCAAACTCTAATTTTGTGTAGTCCTCCGGATCCAGGGGCTCAAGAATGCCTATAACTTTGCCATACTGGCCTGCTCCGCCCGTCTGTTTCTTGTGTGTATATTCAAACCTAAGAACAAACAAATCCCCCCAGAATACCACGTTACACATTACACAAACCATGCACTAACTACAGTTTTCTAAGGAAGAAGTTCCCATTCTGCATTTTGCTTTATTCCATTTGGTTACATGTAACCAAAATGGCTAAATGCCATAACAGCGGCTGAAACAACAGCTGAGGCTATTTAATGCCCAAAGAGGGAGCACCACGGTTCTTCATCTTGCAAGCAGGAAGCCAAGAGACCATGATGAGTTTAATCGCTCAAAAAACAACTGCAAAACCAAGATTCTTCTGTGTGCGGTAAGCAATGCTAATAAAGCCTGCTTACCTTTAGGCTTGTGCTTTTTGTTGACTGAATAACAAGTTTTTTTGTTGCTTCTGCACATACCTACAGTTTCCAGCCACAAAGTACTTTGATGTTAAGTGCAGACACTGAACAAGGGGATAATCGGAGAAAACTTGCGAGTATGAACAGTTAAATACTTTTTAAGTGAAACCGGAGGGATCTGAGGTCTCTCTGAAACATCTGCCCCCTGTCCCACGCAGCTGGGGGGGCTGGGGCTCAGGGCTGGGGGGGATACACAGCGCCTCGGCGGTGGGTCGGCCCCCGCATGTCACAGCTCGTCCCCGAA